ACATGAACCGTGCAGCACTTATTGTTAATCACCTGAGACAGCCACAGCTGGCTCCCATTCCGAAGGATAACCAACTAAGTTTCAACATGCAACATTTATTTATGGTTCAACCTGAGACACCCACGAGGTGGCTCAATAGCGACTAAGTTACCAGAATGCATCAGCAGGGGTCAATGTTAAGGTCACTTCAAGGTTAGCGGGAGTAAACGTGGTGATCTAGGGTTAATAGGATTGAATGAAAGGAGCCAGCTGTGGCTGTCTCACAATGCAGCAAGGGTCTGAAGGACACTACGATCAACGGGAAGGACGACATCATCAACGTCTCTCGATCAACAGAACACAAGACCATCATCAATGCAGCAAGGATTAGGAGGACACTCCAAAGGAGCCAGCTGTGGCTGTCTCCAGAGCATCAAGGATTATGAAGTCAATGTTCTGAGACGGCCACAGGCGGCTCCATACAGCGAATACTAGTAAGCGAAGCGACCTCGTACATCATAGTCCGTCACCAGCAACGTCACTATCAATATTCTCACCATCGCCGTCGTCATGAATCCACATTGAGTTTAATTCAGCGGTGCAGCCATGATCTATTAATCAACCTGAGACACCCACAAGGTGGCTCCTTGTAACCGTGATGGTGAGCGAAGCGACCTCGTAATCAACAGGTTAGCAAGAGGAGCCAGCTGTGGCTGTCTCAACAGGTCAACTATGATTATTTAATAGGAGACGGCCATAGGCGGCTCAATGTGGTGATGTGTTGAGCGAAGCGACCAGTCCAACACTGATAATTCAGCGGTCGTTGGTAAGCGAAGCGACATCAGTTTAATAAACCGGCAGCAATGATTAATAATTGAATCACCCGATACGACCACAGGCGGCTTCATGTGATGATGATTATAAGCGAAGCGACCTAGTAGAGTCAAGACCGGTGCAACGATAATTTAAATGGTTCAACAAGTGCAACCCTGATCTATATGAGACAGCCACAGCTGGCTCCTACCGATTGACGTGGTAAGCGGCTTCGAGTCCATTCAACCGTGCAGCAGTGACTCAGAGTTCCCAATAAGGAGCCAGCTGTGATAACAGTAAACGGTGCAGCTTCGGTTAAGAAGTATAAACCGAAGGAGCCAGCTGTGGCTGTCTCAACGAGTTCCACGGTTTATCGTTCGAAGTTCATCCGCTGAGACGGCCACAGGCGGCTCCCTGCACAAGGTCGTTCCGATGACTCCGGGCTGGCACGCTGCGGGGCCGTTCGGTGGTCAGCAAGTTGCAACTTATTAGTCCTACGAACGACTACCCTCGTTCTTCGGACTAAACGCTGCAAGACCACCTCTCTTAAACCCCTCCGCTAACACCAGCCCTCCATCATCTCCACTTGCACCCCTCCCCAGCTAACCACCTGAGACAGCCACAGCTGGCTCCACTAGCATCGAGGGTCTCGAACCCCCACCTCCCAGTCGAACCGGGCGTGCTCCTGTTGCACCAGATGCAGAATGAGCCAAGCTAAACCAATGATTAAGTTAAAGGTCCCCTAACCAATCCACCACCCCCGAGACAGCCACAGCTGGCTCCCTGTTCAGATACAATTGTCCACATGGCTGTTCCACCAGGAGCCACCTGTCATACTGTCTGGTACCCAGCTAAGAGCACCTCCAGCAAGGTTTACTACCTACCACCGTACGGCCTCCCACCGTAGGCCTTGCCGCCCAGCATACACCCCGAAGGGCTCCATCATTTCTGACTTCGTAGCCAAGCTAACCTCCAATTAAGCACCGTGCTCAGTGCCCCCTACCCTTTCAGGCATACCCCGAGGAAGGAACACATACATGTAGCACCCCGCCCTCCAACCTTCAGTCCACCACCCCACCAAAGTGAAGGTAGCACCAAGCACCGCGCACCCACACGCGAGACTGTCCGAAGAAGTTGAGAACGCCCATTAATGTATGTATTACCACGCTGCAACATGTACCCCCATATACCAACGTAATAAGGTCTCAATCGTGCTAGGTCAGGCAGCAGGTACCGCTCCTTACCTCCTCATTCATCACCGGCCCCCCTCCGTCATCGCAGAATACCAGCGACGCTTCGAAATGAGCTGTACTAACCACAAAATGGCGTTCCTGGATGAAGACTCAGTAAGGTTCACAGCCCTTAGTCCGTTATTCCTTATCGCCCAGCGCTCCCTTGCAGAAGCACCTCCCTCGACTTGCCCCAGCACACCAAATATCTCACCCACCGCCCATTCAACAAGAGCCACGCTAGCCCAAGGTGACCGATGGAGTAAATGATGCAGGCTGACACGTAGGGTAACACAGACCTACCCTTAATAAACCCCTGAGGTTAGGTTGCTCTATACTTCACCCTCCCATTCCGTGTACTGTTTCCACACCGTCACTTGTTATCCTCCGGTCTTGCGCACCAGTCGCCATCTTCGCCCACATGCTTGGTGTGACCGTTCAGATGTAACTCCAGGTGTTGTACACTAACCATCGGCTGTTTACGGGGGCACGCGCAGCTTGGAATCCACCCAGGAGAGAAGTCACCTCAGCAGGTACGTTAGTAGTTAGAAAGATACACACCACAACGTGATGTTCCGCAGCACACCCGAACCACAAGAAGCACTTCATACGACCAGAGCCAACACCACCCGCCCTTAAGCCAAGCAATGCCACCCTACCCGCTGCCGTCGCCCCCAAGTTACATGGGCCATGTCACCCCATCCCTGGGATGAAAGGCATACCCCACCCCCGCATCCCCACCCCTTCCCTCCCTCGCAGGAAAGAAGAAGCAGCTCCTCAGTTAAGAGTACACCCGCTACAAGCTGTTGCCTTTTATTCAGCACCCCGCCGCATACAGAATGACTCACCCACCACCTACACGCTACCTGAGCCCTCGGGTCACAAGGACACACCCCTCCCAGGTTAATGTACGCAGTCAATGAAACACCCCGTACCGCAGAGCCAGCACTCGTACGCCCGACACGTTGCTCGCCTACATCAGAAGGTCCCCTCCGCTCCCTCCCGTAAGAATCCCGGTACGTTCAGTATCCCCGGCCACCGCTCCCCATCACTGAAGAATCGTACCGTGTAAAGAACCTCATCAGTATCAAACGGTCGCATACTGGACCCTCGCCGCTCAGCTACAACGCAGCCTGTCCGCACTTCCGCAACGCCAACGCACCAGCCCTTAAGATCCGAAGATCCACCAGCCGATACGCCTCGCACTTGACATCCGCCCCTCCACGCGGTATGCCCTCGCACCACCTCAGCAGTGCCCCTCCACACCCCCACACCCGCTGCCAGCCAAGTGCACCCGTCCCTTCACCAACACCACCCGATCACCACCCCACCATCACCCCGAAGAGTCACGATAAGCCAGCATCCAGGTAGGCCACTGAAGAGTACGAGTACCCCCGGGGTAAGCCCGTCTAGTATGAGTCATGGCTCCTCAGTTAGGCACTTTCCCGCACTGCCCCACCGCTAGGCGTGTGAGTTAACAGGCGTCGTTCCGTATGAGATTAGTTTCTAGTCTTGAGGGTCATCGCCTCCGGACCGGTCCAGTTCACGCAGCTCGATAGCATGCCAGACCAGGCTTCATCCACAAGGTACCCCAACACCGCAGCAGTCGTATGGGACCGATCTAAGTGTTGGCTCATGGGCAGCCCCCCGAGGTGAAGTAACGCCTTACCCAACACACCTCCAGCCCAGTTACCCCACCCAGTGTGAGTTTACCTAAGCCTTCTTAGTGCACCAGTGCATCCTTGCTTCCTCTACTTCCTCCGCAGCAACGATCTGTAGGTGTTCATCCAACGAACCCGTGGCAGTAAGTGAACGCAGGATCAGGTGTTAGCGCAGCCCAAAGGAGGTGGATCTTGCAGACCGTACCCTGTAGAGAAGCTCTCCGAAGTAGCATCCCCGGACCCCAACTTGTTGGGGGAGGAGAGGCTACGTAGGTGAGCGTATCGGAAGGGTTAAGGTTTGCAACTTGCAGATCCACCGGTTGGGCGTAGCGTGCCTGATCCGTAGTGAACGACCCGTGCAAGACAACCTATGACCCAGCGAAGGGCCCATGAAACCGTGCAACATGAATCTGTAGGGTGGTTGAAACAAGCGAAGCGCGTTAGTAATCCTGGGATGGTTGATAGGAGAGCGAGGGGCCCCTCTGGGGACGGAAACAGTAGCTGAGTCAGTCATGATCGAAGGTTGAAAGCGAAGCGACCTGGTTCAGACGAGTCCGGTGCAGCAGGGATATGTAGGTGTCGACAATCGAAGGGCGTCAGGAACCGAGGTAGATCAGTAAGCAAGGGGCCCCGCTGGGGAAGGCGACCCATCAGGCTGATGGATCGGATCATAGTTTAAAGCGAGCCGTCATGGTTCAGGTGGAACCCGTGCAGCGGGGGTCTAAAAGTGTTGGGGATCAACGGGTCACCGAGAGCTCCGCGACTAGCTAAACGTTCCGGTGGGGCACGCTACGGGGGCCGGGCACTGCCTTGAACCTGCGAACCTTACCTCCCTACGATCGACTACCATCGATCTTCGGGAGGACGGCCCTCAGCGGCAGCACCCTTAAACCCCCTCCACTAACACCCCACCTTCACTCACCACCACCCAGCCCAGCGAAGGGTCACGAAACCGAGCAACCAGAATCTGTAGGTAAACAACAAGCGAAGCGACCTTGCATTCTGAGTCACCCACCACGGGACTAGCAAGTGAACGCAGGGGGTGTTAGCGCAGGTCAAAGGAAGGGGGCTTGCAGACCGTACCCTGGAAGACGACCCTCCGGAACAGCATCCCCGCACCATCGCTTGCGACCACGAAGTGGCCCGAAGGGTGGGAGGAGAGGCTGTGTAGGTGGGTCGTCTGGAAGGGTTAAGGTTTGCAACTTGCATGCCCCCTGGTTGACCGAAGCGTGCCCCCGTAGTGAACGACCTCGTGCAGTCCCCCACATGAGAAGGAACTATGACGCATCAAGGTCACATGAGACGGCCACAGGCGGCTCCCATTCCGAAGGAAGTCTGTGACCACGAAACCGTGCAACACGAATTTAAAGTAACCTACCTGAGACACCCACGAGGTGGCTCCATCCGATGGACGCGATAAGCGAAGCGACCTACTAACATGAGACAGCCACAGCTGGCTCCCATTAGGTGGGGTGTCCAGCGTGGTATGAAACGGTGCAACATTAATTTATACTGAATCCCATAAACCGGGGTCAATCCTCACCCAACTCCACAGCACTTCTCAAATAAAGGGCTCCATAACCCAACGAAGCAGCCCTAATATAGAAACGACCCACCCGATCACTATGTAATCCCGAATGATCCACTAACTAGACACCCCACCCGTAACCCATGCGATCCAAAATAAACGTGCAGCAATAATTAGTAGTCATTGATTCCTAATAACTACGGGGGTCAACCCTCACCCAACACCACGGACTTCTATAAATAAGATGTTCCACCAATCAACCCTGCAGCCTTAATTGTTAAATGAATCACCCAACCCCCATGTTATCCATAATCACCTACCGATTACCTCCTACACGAGTGCCTCACCCGCCGATCATCCAATAACCATAAACCGAGCAGCCCTAATTGTTAATAGCAATGAAACCAAATGATCCAGCCAACTTGCGTGCAACCCCGATTATCAATGTCAAAGAGATCACCCGCCACCCCCTTTAACCCTGAAAATGACCCAATCAATGTTCAATTGAATCCCTCAATCCGATTCGTTGTCCCAAAAAAAGGACTCACCCGCCACGCCCTCTACGATTCTTCCAATTGATGTTCAATTGGTTTCAACTCATTTGAATTCAATCGATCATTTAGACCATTTATCGATCAGAGGGTCCTCCCATCCCATGGCCTCCGGGAGACCCATTTCAGAGGTCCTTTAGTCCAATCGACGATCCACCCCCTAATTGATGAAATGGCCCATTTAATGATAAATGTGTCTATGGAGGTCCAAAAATGGCCTAAAAATAGCCCATTTATTTGTTCAATTGACCCTAATTGAAATAAGGACCCGATCGATCCCACCTCCAGAATCAGAGGGTCAACCCCAGAATCGATCGAATGGGCCATTTAATGTCAATAAACACCTCAGCCAAGTCAGCACCGATTATGACCCCACCCTACATCAGACCGAGGGTACCCCCCACCATCTTCAACTCCAGAAATGACCCAACCGACCTTAAAATGACCCTGCCCACCCCCATGCGATTAAAACGACCAGTAGGTCAACCACCTCTGAAATGGCCCATTTAGCCCTAAAATGAGCTAAACCGACCTCCATCACCAAGGTCTAGACCTTACCATTATGCCCATTTAGAGCTAAAAATAAGGTCTCCAGTGCAACGCCGATCGGTAGGGTCATTTATCAACCGAAGTCGAGTGGAAGGGTGGGTGTTAGCGAAGGGGTTTAAGGGGGTTGGCGCCGAAGCGTTGAGCCACGCAGATCGATGGTAGTCGATCGGAGTGGATCATAAGTC